TTCCCTTTTTTTTTTTTTTTTTTTTTTTTTTTTCATTTTAATTTCTTTCTGTGGAATCATTAGTAAGATATAGTGCCTTGTTTGAGATGCCTTTACATGACAGAAACGAACAGGAAAGTATGATAATACCTTTTTGGGATTAAGAATCCATGACAAGGTGGGATTGATGACTTTTATTTCCTTCTCTTTTTCATTTGGCTTATTGTTTTCATGGCTCCTCCATAGCAATGGTTGCCTTTTCAGGCTTTCAAGGTGAAGATGAGTCTAAACAGTAAAACAGTCTCTCATAATCTCTTCTTTTCTACGCACTTAAATGTTTTTAGTATCTTTCAGTGTTTGCAAAATCCAATTATGTTGCAGCCAAAAGATGGAGAAGAAAAGCAAAATCAAAGTGGGCAGATTAGAAAGAAATTGATTCTGTTGCCTCTGGTGTCACAGTCCATGCTCCTGTCCACTTGTGAACAGATAATACCAAAAAAATGCTTACTTTTTATTTTGCACCAATTATGTTAAAATATTCTCTTGGTGCACATTCTATTCCTTCTTCAATGCTAACGTGTCAAATTTGTACCCTAATTTTAAAATTTTGCAACAATTTATTATAATAACTTAAGGGAATTCCAATTATACTTAATAATATTTATTTCCTCTCCTTTTCAATTAATCAAGGGAATTCCATTTTCACTTACCTTTTAAATTTATTTTGAATCTCCACAATTGACAATTGACAATTGACTTGTTCATGTTCATATTTATCAAATAATTTGTTTTTAAAATAATCATGAATGACAAAATTGATTTTATATGCAAATGTTTGGAAGAAAAGTATGAAAGTTATTAACATAAATACTATAATATATATGACGTTTTTGAAGTTGAAATGTAATACGGTCCTGAAAATTAGGCAACTTTTGTGAACACCTTTTTGGAAATGGGAAACACGTAATTTTTTAAAGAAAAAATGTATACATATATGATAACATTTGTGGTCCCCACCTAATCTTCATTTTATGTAATATTTATTTAAAAAAAAAGAAAAAGAAAAAGAAAATGGAGATGGCATCCCATGCGTCTCAATTTGATTATGGGCCCTACAGAGAGTACAAGTGGCACTATGTGGGCCCACATTTCATTTCATTCATTTTTCTTTGTTGAAAAACAAATTGTAATCCTAAGTTTACATTTTATTAAAAAATATATTTTTAAATATGAAGAAAAAAACGACGTCACTTACAATATAAGAAAAACGACACTAATTTTAAAAGATTACGTTCAATTTCTTCGTTTTTTCTAAATTAATTGAGATAACAATTTAATTTATAAAATAAATGATAGAGAAAAAGGAATAAAATAAGTAATAAGGAGGTAGACAAATCTGAATTTGTTGACAGCCTTCATTCATTCCACACATCCCTTCCCCTCGCCTACTTGAATACTGCCAGACTGTCCACGCGCCACTACAGCCGTCCGATCATCATTTCAATCCTCCTACGTACACGTGTCAATCACCCCACCGCTTACTCCGTCTTTATTCTTCCCCCTTCAGTATCACAAACTACTCTGTACATCCTGTCCAAAGCTACACACGTGGCACCTTTTCATTCGCTTTTTTTAAATACCTATCATATTACAATTTCTCGCGTGACGTTCTCGCGTTTTTATCATCTCGTATTCTCGTTCATTTCTCGCGCGGTGTTACTGCTGAGACCATACTTATTGCATCTCCTTGAGTTCCCAACCAGGGAAATGATCGAACATCGGCCCAGAAATTTCTATCGAATTTACGAAATCTGCAATTTAGATTGAACAGAACGAGAAGCAAAAAAAGATGAACACGAAATCGAATTGAATATTGAAGAGACTTACAAATAATCTTCTATTTTTTTTTTCCCAAGGAACCAGAGGAGAGAAGGAAGAAGAAGTATGGATGGCAGCAGAAATATAAATCGAAAAATGAAAAATGAAAAATAAAAGAGAGAAATCATAATTATCAATCAAACACGATGATCGTGATATTCGACGACAAATTCCTCGCTTCCTCTGTAAAGATCTGCAATCTCCAGGGGAAAGCCTCCAGGATTTGTGACCTTCATTTCAGCAGAAATATTGTTCTACTCTTGCGAGTCCACGATCTTGAATTTCACATATCAGATCAAATATGATTGTTCTGTCTTTTTTTTTTTTTTTTTTTTTTTTTCTTTTTTTTGTCATTAATAATTTTTCAAAATTATCTTTTTTAATTTTAAAATTTAAAAGTTAATTAAAAACAGGAAACCGAAGCATATGGAAACAACAAATTAATGAAATGTAAAAAAGTCGTGCTCTTTCTCCATATTTGGTAAGATCATTGCCATTGATTTGGAAGTTGAAATTATTTGTTTTGTATCATTTTTAGTAANGACTCTAACGATCTTCGGTGCTTTGACGACTGGATTTTCCCTTGCAATCACGTCGCGACCGGCGGCCTTGTAATCGAAGCTGCAGTCATGGCGATCGGAGTACCGGTGCTCAGCGCAAAACAGCTCTCCGCATCGGCACCGGAATCCGGTCAATCCGACTCTCTTTCTGCATCCGGAGCATCGATTCACCTGGCGCTTGGCAGATTCTTCAGATTTCAACCGATCCAAGGACATATTCCTGCTACTGTCGCGAACGGAATCCATTAGCACAGGCGATCGGGATCTAGATCTCGAACTTTTCACCCCGGACAACTTTCGAGGCGCCGATATTCCAGTATTCGAAGAGGACGTCGTCGTCGTCGTCGTTGTTGCTGTCGCCGACGCCGTCGCCGTCGTGGCGTTAAAGCACTTCTGGCACATGTTATTGGTGGTCGGATTACCGGTGAATCCGCAGTTGTTGACGCACAAGGTGATGGTCTCCGGCACCTTCAACTCCGTCTCCTCCTTCTCGGTCCTCTGAGCCATATCTCCTATCGGATTCACCGCAAGATTTACAGCAACAACAAACAAATTCAGAAGAAAAACTCTACGCTATAATTTGGGGATTCGTCGAAAGACGAAGCGAGGAGCGGTAATATGAAGGAACGGAAAGGGGGTCGCAAAATGGCTATAGAATATCGGCCTCATACACACGCGCATCAAACAATTTCTCCTTTTTTTCCTCTTTGACATAAATACCCTTCTCTTATTTTGGTATTTACCCTCCAATCCCTGTGGTCCAGGATTAACTCTGACGTTGCAGGCCTTCATTGAAAGGAAAAGTATTCCCTGTGGTCCTTTCTATTTTTATTTCCGTGGGCCCGCTTCTTTTTCCGCATGATTATTTTTCTTAACCGCCGCTGGATGCTCATTGGATGCGCCTACCAAAGTCAATACGTAGTTCGTTTCCACAATTTTTTAATTTCATTATTTATCCCAAACCCTTACAAAAATAATAAATAATAATAAACAAATAAATATATGATCAATCTTTAGATCAATCCATTTTAAAAATATCAAATAGACTTCAATTTTTAATTTTATTTTAATTAGTCTTAATAATATTATTATTATATAATTGAATGGTAGGTTAATCCAACATTAAAATTTTAATTTTATTAACATATTTTAAAAATGTATAAAATTAACTATTATTCATGTCAGTTTTATTTTTTATTTTTTTTAATCGATAATACATGTGTTTATGTCCATTGAAATATGTTCATGTTGATATAGTATTATTTCATATTTTTTGGTTGAATAAATTAATAGTTTTTTCATACAATAAATAAAGTAATTGAGTGATCTTCACGTCACAACATATCTCAATCAATACAATCTATCCGACATTTTACCAATTTTTTAGTAAAATTTATCGTTCTCTTAAATTAGCATATTTTTTTTTTCAATAACCCCTTATTTAAATCGGGGTTATAATCATATAATAATATCATAACTTAAAAATGATAATAATAATAATGGATGCGTTTTAGTAAATGAAAAGCTTGGGTATGTGATAATTTTTTTTGACCTAACTCATTTATTAAAAAAATAAAGATATATAATCAATATTTATAAAACAATAATGTTTATGGTAACTTTTAATAAAATATAATATATATTTTTAAATAGTGAAAAGATTCACACTTATTTTAATTGATTTTTTATTAAAAGATGTAAATATATCAATAATGGATAGAGATAACATATTAAAAAAAATCAGTTACAGGTCGAAGGGCAAATAGGTAGTTGCACACAGTACACACGGAGCCAGGTGGAAGCCGCTCTATCTGACCGCGAAGCAGCGGAACATTTCTCCGCTTTCGCTTTTAGTAAAGGGCATTTTGGTCCTTTGACTCTCTGTCACCATTCACCAGGCAGGGCTTCTTTTTTCTTTTAATTTTTTTTTCTTTTTCCATATTGGCACGTGAAATACACGAGCCCCTTACACGCGTCTCCCACTTGTTCCTCACAGTTAAAACGGAAAGTCTTTACACGCCAAAATAATCTCTCACAAAACCAAAATTGAATCTCCAAGCATACCTTTTATTTTATAAAAATAAAAATAAAAATAAAACGTGTTTTAACTTTTTTATTAATTAATTAATTAGGATGAGTTGACCCGTCACTAAAAAAAAATAATTTATATAAATTTAATAGAAAAAATATGAAAAATTTAGCTAACAAAGTAAAGCGATAGATTATATTTCAATGTGAATTATATGCCATATTAAATAAATTTGAGATTTTTTAGACATAAAATAATAAAAATATAAAATTTGTTAAACATGAATTAAAAAGAAAAAATAAAACTAAATTGGAAATTAAGTATGGGTTAATTTGAAATATAAATAAAAAAATATAAAAATTATTAGTGTTGAAAGGGAAAGGTTGTGGAAATGGTTGAGAAAAGTGGAAAAGTAAATATATAATAAAGGTTATATTAGAATGAATGAATTAATGGAAGCTGCCGTCCATTAGTGGTAAGCATCTTAATTTAATTAATCCGCCTCCTAATTAATTCAACGTCCACGCTGGCCCCTGGCAGGGCCCACTCTTGTGATCCAGTTGTCAATTTGGCATTGGCAGTTGCTTTCTCCGTATGGCCAAGTCAAACGTTGACTCTTTTTTTATTTTAAATAATAAATAAATAAATGTTAGTTATCCCTTTCTCTTATTCCTCTTGTCACTTCCAATTTTGTATGTTTGACTAAAATTAGACAAACCAAATTATTTATAATTTTACTAAATATTATTTTTTGTTATAAAACTAATTTTTATCTTTCAATTTTTTCTATATATAAAAAAATACCGATAAATTGATTATTTATTTTAAAAGATATATTTAATCTTTCAAACGTTGGATAATATATCGAATTTTTATAAACATTTCAAAAAATCCAGGTTGGTTTATCGTCTAATATTGGTCTACATGAGGTATAATAGAGATCCTTATTTTGGTCATTTGGCAGTCCTTTTGAAGGCAATTTCGGTTATTGAGAGTGTTTAAGAAGCATCTACTGTATCTAAATAAAAAAAAGACAGGTGATATATATATATAGATATATGTATATAATATTATTTTTCTAAATGTCTTCCCTTTCTATTTTGGGAGTATTAATAAATAAAAAAAAAGAAGGTGTAAAATAGAAAATTTGTTATATTAAAAAAAAAGAACTTACAAATTTTTATCAAATTGGATTACGGAAATGATGGGTCCAAATCTAAGCGGCCCATTAAGAGCAACCCGAAAAATCACGGCCCAAAGCAATGGGATACTATAATGGAATACGTATTTATGAGGTTCCATTGGCTAAACCCTTCCATTATTCATTTGTTTTATTTTTTCCGTTGATCTCAAATCCTTCTCCCTCAGCCATGTGTTCTGATAAAATCCGCGTTCCGTTGCGTTTCTGCGATTAATTTCCAGCAATTTACCCTGTGAATTGGTTATCTCTGTCGAGTTTCACACGAGTTGGTGGAACCGGCTAGGGTTCATGGAAGCTGCAATTCGTGAGCTCAATATTTGAGGATTTGAATATATCAATTAAACTTTGGTGTTAGTGTTCAGTTCGGTGTTCTGGATTGTGGAGATTTGTGAAAAAACGCGTCGGAGATGGGGAGTGAGGATCGTATCGATGACCGGACGTTCAAGGTTGATTTCAGTGGCGAGGGAATGGAGAAGCTCAGAGAGAGGATCAAGCTGAAGATGAAGGAATTCATGGGCGATTATACCGATGATACTCTCGTGGTACGGACTATCCTAGCTTTTTAACATTCACGTGCCTGAGAGATTTATGCGAAACAATGAGATTATCGATTTTTTGACGAGTCTGTCTAGGTGTTGTAGAAATTCTTTTAGGTTATTCATATGGAGGCAATTTTCTTCTTCGTAATTGGTTATTTTCGAATATGTCTGGTTGAATAAATGGAAAATATAGCAATCGCCGATTATATATTTGCCAATGCGGAATGAAACAAAATTAATAGCTCTGATTCATTTTTTTTTAAATGATTATGTGCCTAAGGTAATTTTTTTCTTATTTACTTAGAAATTCATGATACGTAGATGGCTGATATCAAATAAGATGCATTCCAACTCAATGCCATAAATTACTCTTCATCCAAAGAAGACTGCATCTTTTAATGTGCAATAGCCTGCTTAAGAATTTGGTTAGATGTCATCCTGTTTATGTGTCCGCCCCTCTTTGAAAGGACCTCCCTGAGCTGGGTTAACTTGCAATGCAGCTGAGTTAATTCGTTTAGTTTTTGATGGCTGACCGTTTTCATTTTTCCTAAGAAATAAATACATTGGTTTAATGAGATGTCAAAAAGGAAGAATATAATTAGCATTAAAAGAAATAATGACAATAATTAGTTACCCTACAAGTATTACTCCTAAATGTGATGATTAAAAGAACATTTTCCTAAAACAATGAAGAAGAGTTGGCAATAATTTTAGAGAGGCAAGAAATTGAGATTGAACTAAGTGGACGGAAATCTTTCATACTCTTTGCATTAGGTTTCTTTGTCGAGGGATGTATTGAGAATATCCTTTTGAAAATACATTTTGGAATACTCATAATATCTTCTTTGAGGGTGTTTCAAGAGTTCTAAAAGAATTTAGTGGTGAAACCATCCTTTTTTTGTGCTTTCTTACTCCCCATATCTGAGATAGCTTGAATAATTTTTTCAACCTTAAAATTGGCCTCCATCTAAAGAAATCCTTATGGCCTCTAAGCTTGGACCCAATCTGGATTGGTTGGCATAAATTTTACCGCCTCTTTCTTTATGAATGGATCTGGGAGAAATCAAGAATTTCCTTTTCAATGTGCGTGTAAACAGCCACTGTTATATACTCCTTCTCTTGATACGTCTCCTGTGAAATTGTTTAGCCTTTCAATATACATTTTTTTTCTGAAGTGCTGCTGGGTGAGATTGTGGAAACTTTCTTTCATGCATCTTTTGGTTTAATGTAGTGTTATACTAGTGTGTTTTTCGTATGCATGTTTGTGTGTGCTTAAATTGTCTCTATGTTTCATTTTTTTAAATATTAATCATAATGTGATTTTAAATTTCCTCCAATTACTGGAATTTAGAGCCTCTGTTTAAAGAGGTCAAATTTTATTGAATTTAATAAATGTTCTTTTGGGTAGGAATATGTGCTTGTCTTGTTGAGGAATGGAAGGCGCAAAGAAGAAGCACAGAATGAACTAAATGTATTTTTGGCAGATGATAGCCATTCTTTTGTATCTTGGTAATTTGATGCTCATTCTTCCTCTTGTTTATATTTGTAAGTTGGGTAGTAACTTTGTGTTCAGTCATTCTTGCAACAAGGTTGACCAATTCTTTTATAAGCGTCGTTTCAACAGGCTGTGGGACCATCTGGCTTCAAGTATGAATTTATATGTGGAACCACCTCCTAAATCTTCTGCCGATGAAGTGCCCAGATCAAAGTCTCCAGTAGCAGAACCAGATACAGGAATTGGTTCTCACAATCTCGAGTCTGATTTGGAAAGAGGGAAGTCTGAAAAATTATCTAGCAGACGGCGTAATAGGGAATGGAAAGGAATTGCTAATGAAGAAACCCGTGTTACTCCAAGATCTGAAGTTAGTCGTGTCAAGCATTCTTCTCCTGAACAAGTTCCTAGTCATAGGAAAAGGAGCCGAGCTGATGATCATCAAGGCGCTGAGGTTCGTGATCTGACCTTCTCTGCTAATTTAATACCTAGCAGCAATTAATTGGGTTTTAAAATGTGAAAGTGGAATTAGTGAAAAACAATGGGTGGAGGGTTCATTGAACAATATCCTTTTATTTCTGAGCTTGCAATTTACAAACTCCACATTTATATTTTTGTTTAAAATTGCATGTTTTTATGTAATCAAAATCTTTAAAGTGCCTTAATTTTTATACGCCCTCAATTATGGTTCCTGAGACCTATTAACCCTTTATGAGCATGCCGTGTTTTTCTGACTATGTGTGAACTCTAATTTTTTCTCCTTGACATGTCGATATGGCTATTTTTAAATTCAGTTTTCTTTGCAATACATAACTATATTGGATTTTAATATTTGTTTAATGGGAAGGTGATGATCAGGGTTGCAGTTCAATCTTAATTCATATAAAGGGTAAACCAGAAACATGAAGTATTATGCCATAATTTTGCTCACTGTACTTTTGAATTTTGAGACCATGAAGTATGCTTGATTTGTTTTTTTGAACTTTTTTGTGCGAAATAGCTTGAATGCTCTACTTAACTACCCAAGTTTTGATATTTTTAGTCATTTAAATGACATAGTTCGGGTATTGGATGGTTTATTAATGCATTTTTCTAATGGGAACAATTTCTTACGTTTCTTGTTTTACAGAGAGAGGCAACTTTTCAGGTAAGCATTGCTGCCCCTAGGCGGCTGCTCCAGTTTGCCATGCGAGATGCTGTTGCTACCGTGAAGCCCTCTAATGGAGCTAAGGAACCCCTTTCAAAGCGTCTTCGTTCGGTAGTTTCTACGTCAAATAGTGACACAACTAGTCATCCTAGGCGGCTTCAATCCGTCGCAAAAGTGCCAAATCCCATGGCAACTGTTATTAAGGCTGTGTCGGAGGCAGCTGAGGATGTGATAAGAGTTAAATCCTCTAGTGTTTTTGATCGACTTGGTCGTCAATCTCGTGATGCGGATTTAAAAGAGTCCAGTGGTCAAGTTGCAGAATATGGAGTAACGCCTGTAGAGGACCATAAATATGGGGATATGAATCACACACAAGATCGACCATACTCTGCCACCTATCTTGAGAGTAGCAATTATAGTGGGAAATATACTCCCATTGAGGCCATGTTCGATGCTGAAACTGGATTAGCATCAGATTCTACATCTGAAAGTGAAGATGTTACCATTCTGGGCCACAAAGTATTTGATGATTCTTGGACTGCAGAATCAGGAGTAAGAAAGGGAGGCAATTTGCGGACTGCACCATTCAGAGTAGTTGAGAATGTTGATGATGAACGCATGATAAAATACAAACAGAAGCATCAACCTTCCTTAGTTGCAAATTCCTCACGTGACATTGTAAATATCTCTGTGAATGTTAATACTTGGAAACCGCCTCACTATCAAGACCCAGGGCAAATTGCTGAATCTGGTGGTCAAAAGTTTTTGCAGGGGAGTGAGTTACGAGGTACCAGATCTGCTGTGAAAGTAACGGAGAATGGCGAGCCAGTCACTATTGTTAACCAACAGAAAAAGCCTGTAGCACACCTTCAAAAAGAGTTCCAGAAACCATCTGCTAATGGTGGGCTCTCTTTTCTGGTCTCTGGCTCTGCTATTAAAATGATAATTAGTTTGTACAGTGCTTTTGTTTATCTCTTTTTCTTTCCATTTTTGAGGTTTCTCTTTCAATTTTGTCCCCGTGTATGATTGTCAACAATCAGTTGTCATTCCGGGATCTTACTTTATTTTCTTCAGTGACTTTTTCATTCTATATAATTTTCTCATTTTACCTTATGCAGGCCTTGCTGCCACTCGCCCTTTAGAGGATGCTGATGCTCGAACCATTTTTGTTAGCAATGTAATAAATCACCCTTTTGTTGCTTCTATGAAGAACTGGTGACTGTTTATCACCTTACGTTAATTTTCAATTACAGGTTCACTTTGCTGCTACAAAGGATAGTCTGTCTAGGCATTTTAACAAGTTTGGAGAAGTGGTAAAAGTCATTATAGTAACCGATGCAACCACCGGGCAACCCAAAGGGTAAGGCATTACAATGGTTTATTGTACCTCAGCTATCTCTTTTTGTTACCTCTACTGCAGACAACAAATTTTCCTTTGTTACTTTTTAATAAATTAATTGATGCGATTGGAGCAGGTCGGCTTATGTGGAGTTCATGAGAAAGGAAGCCGCAGAGAATGCATTGTCTCTTGATGGGACATCGTTTTTGTCTAGAATTCTTAAGGTACCAGTCTTATTTCTGACATTTTGATCTCTAGTATGAATCATCACCCAAAGAAAAAAAAAAAATGTTTATAAACTTCACATTTTTAGTTTTTTAGCTTTCTTTCTTCAAGTCCTGCAGTTAACATTGGTTTTTTAAATGAGTCCAATGTTCTTTTGGTTCGATAGTTGTGTGGGCCAGTTCACATCTCACGTGTATATAGTGTCCTGGGCCTTGTTTGCTGATATTTTTTTCAGTTATTTTTTAACTGGATTGTTATTCAAGTTTATGGGTTCTTTTCACTTAATCAGTGAATTTTTACTGGTGTTTCCATGCCTAACTATGCAGAGAGCGAGAGTTAAGTAACGACTGTTTCTTAATGAAAAAAATGGCAGTAGACATCTAGAAGCAAACATAAAAACTGTGCAGGCTCCTTCCAGTTTGGGCTGCTTTATTTTTATTTAGCCCACCTTTGTTCTTTCATATATCTTAATGAATAATTTGGTTTCTCATCAAGAAAAATATTCGATAGTCTTGGCTGCATTTGGTTTTAACTAGTTCTTTCACTGGTATTATAATTGTAACATTTTTATGTTGATGCTAAAACCCCACAATACAGTACTAGCATGATATGATTTAGTGGAGTTACCCACGGTGTCAGATTGATTGGATCCCACAGTGTCAGATCGATTAGAATCCACAGTGTTGGATTCAACTAATAAACCTACATATATTTGGTTGATTTGTCAATGCAGGTCGCGAGGAAAAATGCATCACAACCAGAAGGTGCTTCAATTGTTACCTGGCCTCGTGCTGTGCGTGGCTCACCATATCCTACTCCCAGATTTAGCAGAGTTCCTTTCCCACGGGGCGTTCCCGGTGGATTTAGGCCTCGTCCCCCCATCAAACTTGGAGCCAGGAGCATGCAGTGGAAAAGGGATAGTCAGACCACAACTACTGATAATGGTGCTTCTCTCTATGGTATTTCTGTACCCTCAACTGGTGCTCGTAGTCTCACCTACGTTCGAACAGAGCCTAAGCCAGCAGACAAATAGGAAACACTGGATTGAGATGAGAGTTATTTTCTCCTCAAGAAATTGTTCAAAATTATTTTGCGAAAGAGAATCACGCAGATCAAGTATATGACCCCCACAATTCTTTTTTTTTTTTTTGTTTTTTGGTGGTTCTTGATTCTTCGTGCATCATGGTGGAGGAAACTGAGAAAAGAAAACCAAGGGAAGTTTTAGCAGTTTGTAGGAGGAATGTTTCTTTTTTGTTTCCATCGAGGAATGGATATTGGCGAGTTGCTTGGAAACTCATGATGGCGGTTCAGATGATTTCTTAATTTTAATCTCCCCTCTCCCATTCAGAATTCTAATTCAGCTACTAGATTAAAATTTGTGTATAGAGTAACACTAGACGTTAACGGATATTATGATATTTTGTAATTTTTTTATTACTGATGTGACAGGAGAGAATGAAAAAAAGAAAAATAGAGTTTACATGAGAAGAAAATGAATGAATAAATTTACCTTGTTTGTGTACCAGCATGCCTCTGTACCCGTATTTTTGCATGGTGAGCCACGCACCTTACAAATCATTTTAGGCCAAGAAGATGCCAACACAGTATTGAAAGCAAAGGCAACAGTAGATGGTAATGCAGAGCCAGCAGCCATGGTATGCATTGGAGCTATCTCATACAATGCCAGCAGCCATGAGTTTTCGAACTCAAATTTAAATGTTTCTATATAATATAATAATTTTAATTTAAAATTTTAATTAAAATATTAAATATTTTGAACACTAATTACTTAAATAAACATATAACTTTCAATTTTCAATGAATGATGCAACAAACAAAATTGAGTAAAGTGATGCATGAGTATTCAATAAATATCTATCGTATTTAGCCTTGCAAGGTGCTCCTTGTTGTTCACAGAGGACTCCACATGCACCATGCTACTCAGGTCAGAGCGTAGGCGAGTTAAGCTGTCGGACTCTTGCCATCTAAGGTGAGACTAAAATATACAATATTATTTTATTTAATAAATTGGGAGAAAGGATGTATCATTAAGCTATCTTGTGATTTTTTTTTTCAATTTATTTAAATATCTAACTAATAATTTTTTAGAACAATAATAATAATAATAATAATAATAAAAAAAGAAATAAAAGAAAAAGAGAAATAAAAAAGAAGCTTATTAAAGAAATATATTATTGATTATATAAAAATAAAATCTGCCAATAATCGCACCCATAAACTAGATAATATCAACAACACATGAACCAATACTCTCTCACTCCATTCCCTTCCCCCGCTTGAAGCCAATTCTTCTGATCATTGCAAGTAGTAGGCCGCGACGGAGAGCAACGAAGCGCCGATGAGAGAGCCGATTGCCGGAAGGCCGACGGTGGCGCCGCTGGTTGGTCCAGGTGCTGGAGCCGCTGCCTCATCATGAGCAACGACGGCACTGACGGTTGCGGCAGCGAAGAGAATGGCGCAGGTGATCTTGTTCATCTCCATTGCGATTTTTTGTTATTTGTTGTGGCGTTGTCAGGTGACGAGGAACTCGAACGATTCAACAATCACCGAAAAACGCCTTTGCTTTGGAGATTGCTGCCTGCTGAAATGAGATGGAGTCCATGGGATTTATAGGTGGAAACTCGAGCGATTTTCGGTAGATGGTTAGTTCCTATATCCTTTGATCTTGAATTGCAGAGCTATAATTACAAAAACCTTCCTGATTTACAGGGGAACCAGAAGAGGCCGATTCGTGGAGGTAAAATTAGGGAATTTTTGAAATTAGGTTTGAAATTAAAAATTTTATTATAAATTTCACACAGCTCTAATTTATATATTATTTATTTGTTGCTACCTACATTTTATATGATTTTTTTTTAGATAATTTATGGCCCTCTATATATATTGTTTTGAATTTAGGATCTATAATTGTATTTTCTTATTAATTAATTTGTTTTTGAATGATTATAGATTAATTTATTTATTTGAAAATTAAACTATTGTGTTTGAATGTTGATCCATTAACATGTTACTCTTACTCTTACTTAGTTCTATTGAAAAAGATGTTATTCTTCAATTCTCATGAATTAGTCTAGAGAGCTGCCATTTTTTACGATTCATCAACATTACATCAATTAAGTTCGTTTGAATTGGGGTGAGAATGTTTGCATAATCCACCACACTAGGGTGCGAAAGTTCTCTATTTATAATCAAATAAATTATAAATATATGAGAATAGTAATAAATTGAAATAACAATAAATAGAAAGATACCTATGGTAAAAAGCCAAATATCCAGATATTTGTCGTATAATAAAATATCAAATATGATATATATAGTAAGCTATAATTTAGTACTAAATATCCTTAACATCTCCCGCAAGCTAAGCGTTGGATTTGAACGAATGTGAAGTTTGAATTTGAAAAATTCTATGAGAGGTCGAAAAAACACTTTTCTTGAAGATGTCAACAACCTAGTTCAAAGGAGGCGTTGTAGATAAACACTTTCTTGCTCATCGAAAACTGTAGAGGGATCTTCGCTCAGTGGCGATGCTACCTTGGCTTCGGCGAGAATATGTTTAACCCATGAAGAGGGATCGTCGCTCAGCGACTATGCTGTCTTAGTTTGGGTGAGAATATGTATAACACAAGATGTAGAATGGGAAACCTAGAGCAAGGGACAAAGACAATGTTGAAGCCGAAAAAGTTACCACAGTAGTCAAAGAATCCAATTTTGGCGAGAAGGGCAGTCAGAAGAGTCGCCACGTTGAGTGAAGAAGCCAATTTTGACGAGAAGGGCGGCGGCGACTTGGTTGGTAAAGAGGCCAATGCGGCGCCCAGATTCCAAAGGTAAATCTCTGCAAAAGATCGATAGGTTTCTCGAGATTCTGTATATTTTCTATAGAAACGCTCATGAGGATTTTGAGGTTAGAGTTTATGCGAATGATAAAAGGAAGGTTGAGAAGAAAATGAGAGAAGTTATGTTGACTGTTTGAGAAGGGGAGGTTGTATGTACAGAGTATGACGAAAGGTGATTTGGAGGCCAAAAGGGTGAAATAGAAGAGTAATCAATCAACTCTATTTGTGGCAGGCATAGAGACTGACCCTGCGGCTTCAAAGCCAATAGTGGTGGTGAGGAAGAATAATAGAGGATTCAAAAGCTATTGAAAAGAAAGGATTGAGGTGGTTAAACAAAAAATGGTATAATACCATGAGAATGTTTACATAATTCACCACATCCAATGTTATATATAAAAATTCTCTATTTATAATCAAATGAATTAAAAGAATATGAAAAGAGTAATAAGGAAAATAACACTAAATGAAAAAATTCCTATTAAAATATCATATATATATATATATATATATATAGAAAGAAATAGAGAAACAAATAACTAAGTAACAAACATCAAATTACAAATTACAAATTACGAGCAAGATACCAAGAAATGAGATCAGGAACCAAATTTTCCCATAAAATTTCTGAAATATATATGCATAAGCATAATTAAACTCTCGAACCAAAACACACATCCAAATCCTCAACTACACAGAAGAAAATTGAATTGAAGGAAAGGAACAGAGCATCTCTTCGTCTCTGCACATTTAACTCGAACATCATCTTTTCCATTTTCAAGAAGACTCTCGCAACAACTAATCAGCACAAAAATCACACTCATCCAAATTTTAATAAACGAAGAATGAAACAAGAGAATCGAAGAATGTATACAGATAGATCAGAGTCCTGAACTTCGAAATCTAGAGATCAAAAAAAAAAAAAAAAAAAAAAAATTCA